TTAGGGCAGAGAGGTGAAACAGGCACCCTCGTTCAAGAAGGAGGTGGTCATGAGCCCCCTCGGGGATTCCTGGGCCGTCCAGCTTCGGAAATACATCTGCCGTGGACGTGGCTCAACCGATTCTGTCCAAGGGTGGCCTCCAAGCTCCCATCCCAAGCTGCCCCCCTCCCCTGGCAAGCCCCTTCGGCTCTCAAGAGGAACGGAAGGAGGCTCTTGACTGGGTGGTGGTGGGGTGACACAAGGGGAAGGCACCCCCCCTGCTGCTGGTGGCTCGGTCAAGCCCGGTCGCTCCCCCCTGCCGCACAGAGCCCCGCGCGTGACCTGCATTGTGGGCGCCGGCTGCCGTCTTGCGCGCCTTGCCCTTCGGCACTGGGGGGAAGAGCTCCACCTCCTCCTGGGGCATCTGGGCCACTTTCTGCAGGAAGATCTTCTCCAGGGCCTGCGCCATCAGGACGATGTCGTCGGTCGGCTGGAGGTTTGGGAGGAGGGGGAAGAAGGGGGGGGAAGAGAGAAAAAGCCCATGGCACTTCAGGTCCTGGTCCCCATGGACGGCAAGGATATGGGCCGTTCCCTTTACAGAAACCACGGGACGGCTGGTCTTGGAGCAAGACCTCCCAGCTCTGGGTGAGTGAGTTTGAGGCCAAACTTTTGTGGGACCTCCACGACTTTTCCTCTCTCTTCGCTGAAGAGAGGCAGGTGAAAGAAGAGCCCAATCTGGAGTCAGAGCTCCCGGGTTCGGGGGGAGGGGGGGGGCAAAAGGTACCAAGGGCGGGTCCCGTCCTTTGCCAACACACCCAAAGCGTTCCCACCACAAGCAAAAGGCCTGAACACCCAGCGGGTGCCTCGGGATCCTGCCCAGATCCTTTTTACCTTGTTGTAGATGTAACAGTTTGTAAACATGGTGTTGAAATCCTGCATGCACTCGCTGGCGCTCCAGTAGTAATTGTGCTCCAGCCGCTTCTTGATGGTCCCCATGTCCATCGGGTTCTTGATTATTTTGTGATAATCCTGCTTGGGGAAAGAGGGAAAGCCGCCCGTTATTTCCGTGGCGTTATCGACAAACGCAGCGCTTTAATAAAAGCCGCAACCGTGTCCAGAGAGACCTGTCCTTGGACGAAAGAATTTGAAATGTGGAAGTGGGCTCTGGGGGGGGGAGGGAGGGCGGAGGAAAACAAAGGGGGCAACAGGGCCAAACGGCCGACAGCCTTCCTTCGGCAAGAAACTCACAGTGAAGGGGTGCAATTCCCGGCCAGGCTTTGTGGTGAGATGACAACAGGGGCTCAGGCAACCTCATAAAACGATCCCCCGGACTGGCGTGGATGGACGAGGAAGAGGAGGAGGGACAACAGGGGCTCAGGCAACCTCATAAAATGATCCCCCGGACTGGCGTGGATGGAGGAGGAGGAGGAGGAGAAGGAGGAGAGAGGGCGATTGGCTGGTAGTCACGGAAAGAGCTAAATGGACCCTCCGTGTTCAGTGTCCATCTACCCTGGAATATTAGGGGCGGGAGAAAGGCTGCCTCTGGGCCACCCAGGAGACGGGGCTCGGATGAAGATCCCGACGCTGTCGGTCATCGGTTATGCGGGGGGGGGCAAGAGCTGCGTGGAAAAGGTGATCCAGCTGCACCTGGGGAGCCAGCAAGCTGCCCACCCTGCCACGGGGGGCGAGGGCGGTCTCAAAGATGATGCTGGGACCCCCTCCGGGCTCAGCCCTGCCAGACAAGGGCTCAGCAGACAGGCAGACGGACGGACGGACGGACAAGGTGAGATTCACCGAGGTTGCCCAGTTCCATGCCACCAGGCTGGGGGAAGGAACTCCCTGTCAGTTCCAAAAACTGCCACTCTTAACGATACATACACACACACACACGTGCGCGCGCACAGACTTCCTGGAGGGGAACAGGACACAGCCCTGCCAGACAAGGGCTCAGCAGACAGGCAGACGGACGGACGGACGGACAAGGTGAGATTCACCGAGGTTGCCCAGTTCCATGCCACCAGGCTGGGGGAAGGAACTCCCTGTCAGTTCCAAAAACTGCCACTCTTAACGATACATACACACACACACACGTGCGCGCGCACAGACTTCCTGGAGGGGAACAGGACAGGACTCACGCACACACACACACGTGCGTGCGCGCACACAAACTTTCTGGAGGGGAACAGGACGGGACTCACGGGCAAGTTCAGCTTGGCGGCGTCCACCGGCTGGTAGAAGGGCCAGGCAAACTGGTGCTTCCACAGCGTCTTGACCACGACATTCTGCATGTACTGCAGCTGGTTGGTCTTCCGGCCGGGTTTGCCCGGGTTGGTGACCTCCGGGGGCGGGGGGTTGGCGGGGCCCGGCGGCACCTGGACGGCCGAGGTGACCGCAGACATGGCCTCTGGCCGCCTCGTCTCACTTGGGGTCCAGACGGCGACACCCTCCACCAGAGCCGCTGCCGTGGGTCGCAGGAAACGGAGGGTCGCTTCTCACAGTCCCCCAGCCGGGCGGGCATCCCATTGCCAGCCGCCGGCCATGCAGCCTGTGGGCAAAGAGGGGAACGGGCACTTCTTCAGGTTCTCGGTAGAGGAGGGCGGGGGCTCTCGGCCTTCCGGCCCTCCCGTTCCACAACCGAGGGCTCGAAACCTCAACAGAACCGGTTCTGGAATCTGACGCCACCAAGCCGGGCCCCTCCTCTTCGGGCAAAGGGGAGGAAAGCCATGGCTTTAAAACCCTCTGGCCTGCTCAGGGTTTGGAGAGCGCAACGCTTGCACTCGAGCCACGGAGTTTCAGAGCGGCCAGCTTCCTTTTTGGACCTCACTGGGGGGGGGGAGGAGAGGGGGAAGCCCTTTACACCTGAGCCACCTGGATTTCTCCGTGGACTTCCTTGTGTCTCTGTGAATCTCGCCTTTTAACAGAAATGCCACTTTCCTACTTCCAGTATTTAGATTTCTGCCATGTACTCTCCAAATTTCGCCCAGCAGCTGCCAGGAAGCGTGGTGAAGGTGCACGCAAAGTTTGCATCCACTCATTTATTAAAAGCGTTTCTCGCCTGCCTTGTATCAGCAGATCTTGGGGAAAGGAGCCACCGGCAAAACCAGCGAAGACCATCCAAAGGGCTTTGAAGGGACAGAACCAGAAGCCAAAGCCCAACAAAACCTGCCACCTCAGAGACCTGGCCGGCACGGTCTCGGCACCCGCTGGGTCTCCCAAAGGAAGCCGTCGCACGAGGGATGGGGGCGCTGCTGTCAAGGCGGCTCTCCCCCCCCCATCCGTGTTTCCACCGGGCAACAGCAGGAAGCTCAGGAGCCTTCCTTTGGGAAGGGGCTCCTCAAAGCCTCCCGTGGCTTGACGCTCCTCTCCACCCCAGCCTCTGGGGCGGTTTCGGAAGGACTGACCGAGAACGGAAGCCATTCCGGCAGGAAGAACGCCGGAGCCAAGGCATGACGGGCTGCCGGCCCAAAGATGCTCCGGCTGCGGCAGGGTCCCCGAGAGAGAGAAACCGTCCGATGATGCGAGCCCGCAATTGTGACACCCGCGGGGCGCCAGCGAATCAGAGGCCGGGGAGGACTTTTCAACGGAACCCCGAGAGAGAGAAAGAGAGGGTGGGTGGGGGGGAACCGGCCACCTCCTCCGTCGGAAGCCACGGCCAGGAACAGCCGAGAAAGAACAGGAAACAAGGGCCGTGAGCTTCCCGGATGGCTTCGCTTTGGGAGTCAAGGGCAGCCGAGGGTCCCTCCTCTCGAGGAGGAGCCGAGATCACCCCCAGGAACACACAGACAGCGAGCGAGGTCTCGCGCCTTCCTGAGTCGGATCGGAGATTCTCCTGGCCCGCCGGCCCTCTCTCACTAACCCTGGACAACCGAGGGGCGTCCTCTGCTGTTAGATCCCAACCTCTGGTCCCCAGATAGACTGCCTCTGTACCTGCAGGTTCCGTTTGCGCCACGCAGGCGGGCTCCTGCGGATCCACGGAAGGCCAGGGCAGGAGGGGCCTCACTGGGGAAGAGGCTGCCTCCCGACATGCCCCCTAAAGGCCGAGCAGGGACCACCTGGAAGCATCCTTCCATCATTTACTCTCTAAGGGACCTCACTGGCTGCCTTCTCTAGCAGGTCCTTTTCTGGCCTCCTTCTCTGGTGTTTCTCTCTCTGCTCAGCTGTTTAAAGCGACTCCTCTTCTGAGGCTTTTTTCCCCCCAAAAAACTTCTTTTTCCTGTTTTGCTCTGTACCCTTTTAGAGGGTGTGTGAGCGGTGCTCCAGGAACCCTCCGGGCGGAAGGACCAGTGAGAAAGACAAAGGCAATTATTACAGAGTGCGCAGGTGAATTCGGGTGGAGGAACTTGCCAGGGGGCGATCCGCCACCAGCAGGCACCTGGAGATCTCCTCAGCCCCAGGTGGCTTAGCCAAAGCGAGGGGCGCTGGCCAGCACCGGAGGGCCCAAGGCTCCCCCCCCCAGCCCCACCTGCCCTCCTGCGAGAGAGGAAGGGGGTGTGGGGCACAGCCCAGCCTCTCTCTCCATCCCGGCGGAGCAGCCGGGGGTCTCCTGCCGGAGCAGCGACGACGGCCCTCACCTACTTCCCAGGGGCAGAGAGGAAAAAGCGGGCCAAAGTCACACCACGGAGCGTCTGCCTGGGGGAGCAGCTCCACAGCAGGCCAGCTTCCCTCGCTGAGACGCTCGACGACTGCAGACACCCCAAGCCAGCCACGCTGGGTGAATCACAGCAGGGAGCTCCAGCGCCGGGGGTGCCAGCGAGGATTCGGAAACACAAACAGGCACCCACACGCCTGCCTGCCTGGCAGAAAAGGGCACCCCTCCCCTTCAAACGTGGGCCGTCCCTGCTCCCTTCACCTGCAGAGGGAAGGCGGGCAGGCGCCGGCTGGCTGGCATTCCCGTCCATTTAAAGGACTTCCATGCACCCCCTCCAGCAGTTTGCAGCCGAGAGCGGCGCTCGTTTAAGGCTACCAAACGGTCCAGTCAGTCGGAGGCGGACGCTGGCCCCACATTTCATCACCTGGGGGGGACAAAGGTGCCCCGAGGTCTTCCTCCCACACGCACCGCTCAAGGTGCAAGCAGCTCGTGGGCGCCTGAAGCCCATCCCCCCCCCACCTCCTCACAGGCCACCACCGGGCAATCTGAGGCTTCGCTTGGGGGTTTCCCACGTTCCATCGACAGCAAAACGTACGAGCGATCTGGGGCCCGACACGACCATCTCGGGTGAGCGAGGCCGTCGGCCCAAACGCCATTCGCAGCAACCCCCCTAGAAGCAGCAGGGGCAGGGGCAGGATCCAAGCTCAAGTCCCTCTCTTGCACCTGCGTCGGGCAAGGGCGCCCCCCCTCCAAAGGAGGGGCTCCCGTAAAGCAGAAGCCGAGAGCCCCGCTGGCCAGCTGGCCCCTGGGCTTCCTCCCACAAAGCAACCCTCAGCGTGTCTCCTCAGGAGTCAGGCCCACCAAGCTCGGTGCTCTTTTCCCCTGGGTTAAGGCAGGGAGGTCCGCTCTTGAGACTGCCCAGGAACGCTGGCCCTCGGAGGGAGGGGAGCCGGTTTTCAGCCCAACGTTAAGAAGGAGAGGAAACAGATTTGCTCTGGGCTCTCCGGGGAGGGGGGCGGGCGCTCTTGTCCTGGGGTGTTTCTAGGCAGCCGTGGGCCAGCCGCGATGCTCGAGCCGGGGGGGGGGGGCCCGGNNGCCGCACGATGGGACAGGGCGCCCGCCCCCCCCATCCAGGATCCTATCCAATCCTGGACTTCAGCAGAGGCGGCTCCCGAGTTGGCCAGCACCAGGCCCTGATCCAGCCGGGCTCCTGGCCTTCGCTGCCCCCCCCCCGGCGGGGGTGAGTGTGCCGAACGGTCTCCTCTCTTGCCCAGACTTGTGTGAGGGGCCTGGGAAGAAA